AATAGTAAACCGGTATCAGAATTAATTAAAAAATATAGTGATATCAAATTGCGACTGCTGATAAATGATTTAGTGATAATGGGAAATGGCGTTTTGTTGTTGGCAGTGTCGGTGCTGATGTACATGCTGAATGTCTATGTCCCATTTCTTCCCCAAGATAAGAACGATCATCGGTCAGTTGCCCACAAAAGCAATATTTTTGTGTCGCCTCTCGCAGAGAATTGCGCATGCGCTATTCGTATTATTTTATGTATGTGTGTGTGTGTATGTTGTGAACACAACAACATAACGTGAGACATAAGCGGGAGCCGCCTCCGCCGGCTGCCCTAATGCCACGTGAGTAACAACAGGCAGCGGCCGGCGGACGGCGGCCGTTGCTTTCAGACGGTCACCGCTGATACGGAGAGACGTTATTTCAAATTCTTAAATTTTTTTTTTCGCTTTCAAAAATTATTGTTCATATACATTTTTTCCAATATTTTCGATTGAAAATATTTAATGTAAACCAAAATATCTCATCATAATAACAATATTAAGTACATAGTTTCCTCAATTTTCAAGGGAGGCACCGCCTCCCTTGCCTCCCTGGGAAAACCGCCACTGCATATGACAAATAGTGAAGGTTTATAGATCAACTATACCTAACTTTATTCGGAATCCCACTTTTTTATTTGTTAACTTGATAAGTTCACTTCGTAAATACGATGTATTAAGAGTACTTAATTATTGTAAGTGATATGGAATTTTTTCTCGTGCATTCGTCTAGCGGTTCTGAAGTAAACCGTTGAACGGTTGTCGGTTACCATTCATAACTATAGTCTATTCAGTTTAAGTTTGCCCACTAAAACGGTCGCGCTCGCGCATAATGTTGATGACAGGGAGCGTTGATGGCGATCGTCGTCGCCCACAAGGTGTCTACGTAGTGAGCTGTATTATCACATTAGTTGACCCGTGCGAACTGCGAATACTCGCACACAAACACTAAACCCTCTGAAAATATCACTCCGTATCCTCAATTTAAATAAAAATAAGAAGAGTAGATAAAATAGAAAGAGAATTAAAAAGAAAACAATTTGCCAATAAACACGGTATTTTTAGAAAACATACCCGCGTATATAACATATATATATATAATTTTTTTTTTTTTGGTTGTCGCAGACCTATATATATATATATATATATTAGGGTGGCGCAAAAAAAATCTATCTTCGAAATGTTAATGGGCTAACATTTAAATTTGTTCTATACATCAAAAAAGAGACTTGGTGAAAATTTGAGATAAAAAAAAAAATTTTTACTGGTCGCTCAACGCGTTTTAGGTAAATTGACCAACAATTTTCAAAAAACCCAAAAATGACTTAAATTATAACATTTTTGGTCAAAAATCCTCATTAGCACATCTAAATTGTAGTATTTTTCGCGTTAAGTACAACTGTTTGAGTTTTAAAATCCTAAGTTAAAAATTAATTACGTCATTAACAAAAATTCGTAATTAAAAGGTAAACTTTCAATTAAGCTTAAATTAACTAAAAAAGTTTTTTTTTAATTTTTAATACTTCATTTTGTTGAACGTTATGTATGTTTCTAATGAAAACAATTTTTTTTACTAATGTTAAAAACTTATACCTTTTTTTGTCATTTTTTCGTGCACCAAAATGAACGTTTTACTGAAAAATGTGTATTATGCGTCAAATAATAAAATACTTATCGTTATGAATGTTAACTGTTATATTTGATTACAATTGATTTAATTTAAATATTTTTAATTATATATAACACAATATTAATAAAAAACTTTATTATTATAATATAAAAGTTCAGAAAAAACTTTTTCTAAATGTTTACTAAAACTGATTTGTTGCAACCAGGAAACTCATTTCTATGTTTTTCTACTACTTGTAAAATATATTGTTTTTGTTTCTCATCTGTCTTCAAAGAATTGTTAAATTGTGTCATTAAAGCAATTCCTCTTTCGACTGGATCATTTACAACAAATAATGATTGCACTTTATTATATGCAGACATATAATTTTTATTTTTAGACCAAGTATTGGGATCGTCATTAAAAAAATCGTCACTAATATTGAGCGCCGAAACAATTGTTTTGTATTTTTAGTTACAAATTGCTGTAAACCATAAACCATGTTAACTTAGGATTTTAAAACTCAAACAGTTGTACTCAACGCGAAAAATACTACAATTTAGATGTGCTAATGAGGATTTTTGACCAAAAAATGTTATAATTTAAGTCATTTTTGGGTTTTTTGAAAATTGTTGGTCAATTTACTTAAAACGCGTTGAGCGACCAGTAAAATTTTTTTTTTTTATCTCAAATTTTCACCAAGTCTCTTTTTTGATGTATTGAACAAATTTAAATGTTAGCCCATTAACATTTCGAAGATCGATTTTTTTTGCGCCACCCTAATATATATATATATATATATATATATGTATACACACATACACAGGTCATCGACATATTATGTACCTACACTAGGGTGGTCCTTAGTTATAGATGAAGAATTTTTTTAAAAAGTTTTTCATTGGGCTACCTCGCCATTTTGTTCATTACTATGAAAAAAAAATTTGTAATTTGTTAATTTGTAATTTTATGCTAAATGCAATAGCTTTCTACTTAAACTCGAAAAACTATAAAACTACCCCATTTGGTCATTTTTTAACCCCCTTGCGGCACGTGAAGGGGGTGAGTTATCAAAACCAAATTCTACCCAATTTTTTTTTCATAGTAATGAACAAAATGGCGATAAAATTTGAGATAAAAAAAAAATTTTACTGGTCGCTCAACGCGTTTTAAGTAAATTGACCAACAATTTTCAAAAAACCCAAAAATGACTTAAATTATAACATTTTTTGGTCAAAAATCCTCATTAGCACATCTAAATTGTAGTATTTTTCGCGTTGAGTACAACTGTTTGAGTTTTAAAATCCTAAGTTAAAAATTAATTACGTCATTAACAAAAATTCGTAATTAAAAGGTAAACTTTTAAAACTTTAATGGGCTACCCCGCCATTTTGTTCATTAATATGAAAAAAAAATTTGGTTTTGATAACTCACCCCCTTCACGTGCCGCAAGGGGGTTAAAAAATGACCAAATGGGGTAGTTTTATAGTTTTTCGAGTTTAAGTAGAAAGCTATTGCATTTAGCATAAAATTACAAATTAACTTTATGATAGATCATTAAATTCTCTATAAAAAAGGTTCCTATACATTTTTCAAAAAATGCATTATTGTCCAAGAAAAAAAATAAAACATACCTTTTTCATTTATTTGGAAAAACTGGTTTTCTACGGGTATTTAAATATTTGAAGAGACAAACATTTTTTTATAGGAAAAAATATGATTATTTTATTTTGTTCCCGGGTCGATTTCTATATTTTTTTTTCTAACGATAATTTTCGTTTTTCACAATATATTTGTTTAAACGATCTTTAAATAAAAAATGGTTGATCGTATGAAATTTTTCCTAATTATCTATTTTGTAGGAAATTTAATTTTGTATAAAATGCATTGAATGCGTTTTACTCTATTTCCAATCGTTCATCAACATATTTAATTACCCGTAGAAAACCAGTTTTTCCAAAAAGGTATGTTTTATTTTTTTTCTTGGACAATAATACATTTTTTGAAAAATGTATAGGAACCTTTTTTATAGAGAATTTAATGATCTATCATAAAGTTAATATGTAATTTTATGCTAAATGCAATAGCTTTCTACTTAAACTCGAAAAACTATAAAACTACCCCATTTGGTCATTTTTCAACCCCCTTGCGGCACGTGAAGGGGGTGAGTTATCAAAACCAAATTCTACCCAAATTTTTTTTTCATAGTAATGAACAAAATGGCGGGGTAGCCCATTAAAGTTTTAAAAGTTCATAAATAAAAACCACCCTAATATACACACATATATATATATAAACAGACCATTGACAACCGAACAAAACGAAAGAAAAAAAAATGTATTATTAAAAAAATTTAGTTCTTTTCTGCGACTTCAGTGTACATTGTGTACTTTACGCGCATACAAGCCATCTAGTGCCATTTTCTCTTATTTGTTTGTGTATGTTAATTATTTATCAACATGTATTCTACTAGTGATGATGAACTAGGTAGCGAAATGGAAGTAGGCCCATCGCCAATTAAGAGAAATAAACGGGGAAAAGTGAGTATTATGAAATACAAACATATGTATATAAATTTATAAACAATACGTATATAAATCAGGGATAAAAGATATTTTGTTATATTTTTTGAGTTTTTACACAGTATTTCGTTGCCCATCCTTCAATATTTGAACTATTTGTATAAAAAAGACATTATAATGTTTTTGGGGTATAGTGGGGACGGAGAGGTCACAGATATACAAGAATTATTATAACTAAAAAAAAAACATCGGTGCTTGTATGTGGATAGTAAAAATCCAGCACAAACCAAGTAGAGTCTACATATATGTCTTGATCATTCTTTCGAAGTTATAGTGTGTTTACGTTAAAATGTACAATTTCTGTGAAAAAAACAGTTTTTCGGTCATTTTCGGTAGGAGGGGAAATACTTTCCGTGTGCGCATCTAAGCTAAAATATTATACTTATTGTTATATTTACAATTCGACTTTGATAAAAAGTTTTTTAAGAATTCTGTTTTATGTTTTGGCCTTTAGATAATATTGCTTACATTACTTCATAGCCAGTCACCTGTAAGTGTACCTGTCGTGTATAATATTTCGATTTTTTAAATTGTTTTTATTATCGTCTGTATACACAATGACGGCCGCTGATCGCGACGAGTGACGGCGGCAGCCGATCACCGCCGGCCAATCATAGAGCAGCTTGACCTCGGCCGAGGGGACCGAACGTACTATACTCTGCGCCATGAGAGAAGTAACCCGTTGCTCGACCGAAACGCGTTCGATTCCGCGCATCGCTACCGATAGGCCACACCCACGGTCGGCGGCGGCGGCGGCGCTGCATATATAGAGTGTATCATAACGTAAACTCGATACAGTTGTCACAAGTCACAAGACTCACGTCTTACGTATTTGAACCACGTTTTTATAACAGCTCAGTATGCATGCGCGAAAGTGGGCAAACTTAAACTGAATAGACTATAGATGTAGAAAAAAAAACTACATTAATATATAATATATATTCGGTTATTTTACTTGTAATTTAAGTTTATTTAAAAATGATTGTATATAATGTCATTATTACACTTACGATTTTGGCAAGTGCAGCTATATGCTTTGAAAATTGTGTCTTTAATCTGAAACTAAAGAACAAAGAATTTCAGTTTGATTTGACAAGGTAATAAAAAATTCCTTATTATTAAAAAACATATTATTGATCTTAACAGATTATGTAATAATTTATTTTGTTTATTTTTTAAGATTTACCAGTTTTAAAAGTATAAATTTTACTAAAGCCAATACTTATTATTCAGTAAGAATTAAATTATGTCGCACACAGGAACAAAAAATAAACTGTGATGGGATTAAAACAAAAATATGTCTTATAAAAAACCAAAAAAACGAGATCGATATTGGATCAAAAATTAAAGGTTTTACATTTTTTTAAACTTATTTATATAAACATACTGTTATTTAATATTTAATAAATTATTTCAGAGGTAAAATTAGATATAAAAAATCAACTTTTTATGTCTCTTGAAAGTCATCTACCAATCTGTCAAAATATTAAAAAAATTACAACAAATATAACTTTTATTTGCAACAAAAATGTGAGTATATTAGAAAATAAAACTTATTCGAATGAGTTTCAGATATATCCATGTCCATAGTTTAAAGCCGACGTTTTAGACTCTTTACAGAGTCGATCTTCAGGGCTGTGTTAGTCATGACTGTTTTGCTACCGTGGCTATACTTCAGAGTCTGAAACGTCGGCTAAAACTATGGACATGGATATATCTGAAACTCATCCTCATGATATTACAATCCATGCTTTAACACAATTATAAAACTTATGGTATTAAACAAAATTGTTTAAACACAAAAATACTTTTAAATTCCTACTATTGAAACTACAAATGAACGTGTTTGGGTACTTGTTTAAACTGTGCCTGTCAGTTCTGGTGACCCTTCAACTCATTTTCGTTAAGAGTGCGAATTCACACCCTAAACCTCTTAAAAGCAAATAGCTACCTAATCTAATAGGCTAACCGTATACTGCTCTAACAGCAGTAGTATGTAGCTACTAATGTTACTAGTCAAAATGAAAATCAGCATATTAAGTTGATAATGGGATTGGGACACTGGAGTCTGGATATATGTATTTGTTATTTTGATAGCCTACTAGCTTATCTCTCTTACGTTTAACGTCCCTTATTCCCGCCAGTCGGGGCTTAGACGGTTTTAAATTTGGCATTTTTGGGCTTAGAGCTGGCTGCTGACCTAATGCTACCCAACAAGTTGGCCCCAGAGAGAGGTGCAGGTGGCCGTTTTTTCCTCTAGACAGTTGCTCGCCCGGAGGAACAAACCGCCAGTGGCCGAGATTCGAACCGGCGACCGTGTGTCGATACACTGCCACCTTATTTCACTCCGCCACAAGCCTGCACAGCTTATACTAGCTTGTATTGAATGAATGAGTATCTAAAAAAAAATGTAATTTAAAATGTATTATTTATACTTAGGACCAAGAGAAAATTGTGTACATTCCAAATGCAGATAATTGTAAATACCTTTTTGAGTGGACATCTGTAGCTGCTTGTCCTGTTGATGATTTAGAAGCTCGGAAAGTTTGTCAAAGGCAGATTCCATCCAGTCATTATGAGTAAAAATTATTATTAACTATTTTAAACTTAAAGCCTTATTCATTAGGATGGTAATGAGAAGTTCCCGGTTATTACCAGGTATCCTTTAGGAAATGCTAAGAAATACCTCATGTATGTCATACATCCATAGTCAGATAGAAAACAGAAACTTCATGTTATCTTTTCAGTCCTGATGCTATAGGAAAATAAATACTACTATAGTTGCTTTTAATTTTTAGTTTAAATTTAAATTTACTTCGTCGCACATCAAGTAATTATTTGGTTGAAAATCATGGCCGACGTTTTGAGCTTAATATCTGTGGCCGTTTGGTGGATAATAACAAATGTGGTGGTAATATTACCACAATTTGTGATATAACTGATGTAAATAAGCCTACAGTATATGCTGTTAGTCATAGTTATAACTCTGAGCTTCTTTATGATGAATCTACAAAAATCTTGAAGTTAATACAACATGAAAGAGCTACAAGAAACAAAAGTACAATTTAGTCATTTTAATTTAAATTTATGCTAATTTGTTATACTTATTCAATCTTACCATGTCGTTCTAGAAGGTAAAAGGGTAGAATTATCATTCAAGTGTGATGAAAATATTCCGCCAGAAAAAGTGAAGCCTCAGTTTTTAATAGATGAATATAGTAACTTGAATGTAAAAAATAAACAGAATGTTGCTCATTTTGAAGTCGCCACAGCAGCTGTTTGTATTCCTAGAATGGCATTTTGTGAAGTAAACATATTTTTAATTATAAACTAAAAACATGTTTATTATTTTCCTTGAATAATGTCATCTTAACTTAAAGCCAGGGACGTAGCTAGGAGTTCTTTTTTGGGTAGGCCCACTATAAATCATTGATAAACAAAGTTATTAATAATTAATTTATATATATAGAAAATGTTGGGTAGGCCTTGGCCTACCTACTGGCTACGCTTCTGCTTAAACCTAAAGCCTAATAATTTCAAAGATGCATTAAAAAAAAATAATTCTAAAACAAAATAAGTAATTTAGATAATGAAATTATTTGTTATAAAAAAATTACATTAATCAACACAATATGATAAATTTATCGTCTTAAATTATATATATATATATATGTGTAAATCTTTATGTTACAGGTTTTTACAACAAATAGTCAGTATAATTTAAAACAATTGCATAAAAGAGTAGGAAACTGGGATGTTTCTAATGAAAAATCTGGCGGAACATTTTATTTGAATGTTTGTGGATATTTGAATCAATACGGTTTAAAAATTCCAAATGCATGCACTGGTGGGTATTGACATTAAAACAAAGAATTACAATGTACTATACATTATTTTTTTATTATTATAGATGGTGATAAAACATCTGCTTGTTATGTAGACTCTTTAGGAAGGGCTATTCCTATTGGATCTTCTCAAATTGGACCTTATTTTACAAATAATATGTTACAAATGAATTACACAGGTATGTAATATAGCTATAAATAGCTAAAGCATAATAATGTAATGCGACTGAGTAACATATGTTCATTTTTGAACATATTTTCAATGTGTTGGTTTATTCTTTAATTTGAAATAGAGTATACAGGTGTAAAGCTATTATTAAATGCTAAGTTACTTTAAGCATAATACACGATAGAAGATAAATGCTAAAGCCAATAAAGAAATTAATAAATTATTTTTTTTTTTTAGAAACTTAAAAAAAAAAAATTAAAATATTTTTTTAGGGGAAAAAGATCACAAACCAACAATTAGTACCGTGGTATTGACCTTTTTTTTGTAACTTTTTTTTGTAGTTCTTATGTCTTTCTCACAGAATCCCATGCGGGTATTCCCAAACAGGAGAGTAATAGGATAATCATGTGGGAATAGCGGTGCTGTTAGAGGATGAGAAACTGTGACCTGTTTAGCAACGATAAAGTAAAATTGATAAACATTTATTTAAAAATATATATATTTTCTCTAAGATTTTTTAAATTAATTTGAAAATATATATTTGTTTTGTTTTTAACCTTTATAAGAACTGTTATAAAATAAACCTTTGCAGTTAAACATATTATACAAAATTAGTTATTTAATGTACTTAAAAAATACAAATTTATAGCTTATAATTGATATCAGTTTAAAAACTTTGCTCATCATCGGGCAGCTAGTATTATATTAATCCTTGTACAATTACAGAATAATAATATTTAAAATATAAACATTTTAGGAGGAGCAAACTGCAAAAACTCTTTAAAATGGTCAACTGTTATAAATTTGATGTGTTCACATGAATCACAATTAATTCATAATTCAACAAATGAGTTATTATGTGTTCATATTTTCATCTGGAAGACTCCTAATGCCTGTGCAGTATTAGTAAGTAAAAATAAGGGAAACTACTCTACGGTGTAGGATGAGGTATAAAGCGTATGCCACTGCAACTATTATACTAAGATAAACTTGCTACATTAGTAACATTTTAAATTCAATATCATAAACTAATACAACATTATTGTTAAGTTTAAAAGGAAGAATAAGTGCACAGTTACACATCCTCAGTTTGCTGGACATGTATACAATATTGACAAATTGAAAAACAAAAGCTTTGAAGGCAAAGATTTAACAGACAATACAAAATTTCGTTTTAGTATTTGTAGCCCACTTGAAATACCATGTAATGGTAATATAGAGTCAGCAGCTTGTTTCTCATTTGAAGACAGCAGTATAAATATTGGAAAATTCTCTGAAGAAATTGTATTTGAAAATGGTAGAATCTACTTAATCATGCAAGGAGAAAAATGTTCCGATTTAGGACCAAATAGTTATACAACTATTCAATTTTTATGCGATTACACGGATTCTATAAAGTCTATAAATTTAAAAAAAGTAATTATATAAATTTTATTAAAACTATTTATATTAATGTGGATAATGGATTTTTAGAACTTACCTGAATGCACTTTTGAATTTGAAATCTATACAAAATATGCATGTACTCCACCAACTAAAAGTGTGGACTGTACCGTAAAAGACCACTTAGGAAATTTATACAACTTCAGTAGTTTAACAAAATATAACAATAATTATGCAATAGATGTTGGTACAAAACAAAAAATTATATTAAATGTTTGTCATTCCATTGTAAATAATGATATTAATGATGCTAATTGCCAGTTTACCAGTGGAATTTGTTTAACAGATCCTGAACAGTTATTAGCTTCAAATAGGTAAGAATAACCAATAAACAAATTAATAAAATTAATAGCTTGGTATATCCTTCAACATATAATATGAACAAATGATTATTGTATGTAAATTTAATTTTTAATTTTTTTGTAGATATAAAAATTTAGGTGATGTTCCTGAACGCCCTCAAATAGAAAACAATAAAATTGTAATTAATATGAAAAATGGTTTTTATGATAGTCATAGTGTATCGTCAAAAATTGAATTCATATGTTCAAGCCAAACTATGGTAAATTATTATTATATATTATGATAAATTTAAATTTAATGAATAAATAATCTTAAGTTATAACTTGTAAAGCATGTATTATGTAATAAAAATAAATGATAACACACACAAAATAGTGCCCCGAAAAGTAATTTATTAAATGAAGCTAAATGACTTAACTATGATAAATAAAAATTAGAAGTAATCGAGTTCCATGTAATCTAAGATTGTAATTAATTACTACTTGTAATAGCTATCTATTACAATATTTACACAACTTGAAGCTACTTAAGTGAGAGTAATCTCAAGTTGTGTATATACAATACCTCACTCAAGTTTTAAGAATTTTTGAGCCATCTTTTTTTTAAATCATCATCATCATGTAGCCGGGCCTTGAAAGCCTAACGCTGCTATCATGAGATAGCAGAGATGAGATCATGAGATGGCTTATAAACAAATTTGCTATTCGAAACGGGTCGTTAGTCCGTCGCTGGAGAGGAGGATAGCAGGTCAAACAAACTGACACCTTTCCCATTCGGCCACTCCTTATAGGCAGAAGCAATCATAATGTCTATCCTGAACATAATGTTTAGAGTTAGCAGTACCCTCAAAAGCTGGCCGCAAAATGAGTTTAATTTCAGTTAAGCTATAAGAATATCATATTAATTATTCATATCAATTATTGTTGTAGTTATAACAAAGACAGAGGATCAACATTATTAGTATAATAAGATAGAAACCTTTTCCCTCAAAAGGGGTAATACCTTTTTTTTTTTTTTTGCACAGTTTATAAAATTAAACCAAAGATAGATTTAGTGTGTTGAAGTACACATCATTTAATGTCATAAAATCATTGTATTTTGATTCTTATCATTATTAACAAAAGGTCTTTATTTTGTTGTATAGTGTAATTCATTCAAGGTTTGAATTTTTAAAATACATGTTGTATAAAAGCTGAAATTATCAAATCAGTAAAAATCGATTAGAATTGTAAATTGTCTATTCATTATTATACACAACATGGTTCTTTTGAAATATAATCATAATATTATTTGTTAACAATATTTTACATGTTTTAAAGAGTCCAGTCTTGAAAAGTCAAGAAAACAATCAGTATTTAATTCAATGGACAACCCCATTAGCGTGTTCAAGAATTAAAAAAATTAGGCGAGATCTACCCTGTAAGGAGTGTGACTTAACTTTAAGTTATTCATTGAATATTTATGGAAACAAATATGATATAGCAGTTTATCCTAAAGGAATTACTCCTCATACAGGTAATAACTATGTGCAAAAGAATTTATGATACTAAGTTATTTATTGAAAATAGTTTTCTCCATATTTGTTTGCATTTCCTTAACATAACACGGTTTTTAAATTGGGAGAGGAAGGTATTAATTAATTGCTAAACCTAACTAAGAGGCCTGAGAATAGCCCATGACTGGCAACTGAATATACTTCCTATTATTCTTACTTAAGTAATATATTTTTTTCTAAATTTTAGTTAAATGCAGCAATGAGTATGAAAATGTAATTGAAACAAGCATGATTGTTATTTTAAAAGTTAATAAACAATGCTTTCAATACTCAATTTTACATAAATACTCTGGGTTTTTCCATGAATTAAGTAAAGAAGCTAAAAGTCCAGTAGACACAATAAAAAATGAAGGAGTAGAAAGAGTGTGGTTTAAGTTTATTTGTGGATTTGAAGCACTAATGCCAGCTGTATCAAAAAAAAAAAATTATATTCAAGTACTCACAATTAATCCAAAGTTTTGTGATAAAAAAGTTTGTACTGATTTTAGTTAACAAAGCAAAAGTTAATTTTGTAAGATACACATTTTTGTTACGAAATTAAATGTGTAATATATTGCAGCTAGAATGTTATGTGGACAAATTTGATTTAACTCCAATAAAGAAAACTTATGTTATAAATACGAAATCTGCAAATTATTATATTTATATGTGTACTCAAGGAGTGCAAGGAGTTAGTGGCTTAATGGAAGTGAATCAAAAGAATTATGTAAGTTACATTTTAATGTTATAATTAATCTGCGAGTACTTGCAGGTTAGATATTTTCTAATACTTTTTATAATAATAAATACATTTTGTCTTTTGTGAATGATGAACTATAAATTTGTATATCTAAAATTTGATTTTAACATTAAACATAGATAGGTACAAATTGTAAACGGTACTATACTGTTTTGTTAGACGTTAGACTCTTATACAGTATTTTGCAATAGTAGAAATCAATTTTTTTTATTGAAAAAAAATTATTTTAGAGTTTAGGTTATCAAACATCATTTCCAAAAGTTAATCCAATTGGCTTATTTGAAGTTATGTTTAATGATGGAGATGAATGTTTAGAACTTAAAAAACCAATTCAAACTTATTCATCTAAAATATATTTTGAGTGTGATGATAATGTTGCCGAAGTGAGTTATTATAAATAAAAGTTTAAAATATAACAAAAAAATTAATTTGAAAAATGTGTTATAATTTTGTTTAGGGATATCCAGAATATTTATCAAATTCTGGCTGCTTAATGGAATTCAAATGGAAAACCAGTCTTGTATGTTCTTCCAAAGAGGTCGAGTTTAACAAAACAACATGTACAGCAGTTGTCAAAAAAGGTCATGGTCAAGATCCTACTTACAATAAATATTTGAAAATGAGAAATCTTAGTAAAATATTAACAGACAAAGTAAGTTTTCAGTTTTGTATATGTTGGAGCCTGTTATGAAGAGTAGCACATTTAGTTTAGCTCATAAATTACAACATTCTAGTGTTTACTCAAGTGAAAAGTACATTTTAGTATTTAGCCTCTCACCACAAAACTAACTTATTTTTTTCTTTATGTAAACTAGCATATTTCATTGACTAATACTAAAATTAATACAATTAAATTTTTTCTATTGTTATTGCACAGTACAAACAGTGTTACTCTTTATGGAGAGATTGTTCAAACATATCAGCACATAATAAGAAACATTGTACTTTTGTTGCACCTAGGAAAGAAGAAGCCTAGTTTTCATAACAACACTTTTTTTTGGCAATTTTCTAAAAATTAGACTATTTTACTTGGGTAATGTTTACTAACTACAATATGTATGAAGGGGACAATGCCTGTTCACCACTTTGTAAAAGGCGGCTTTGTTTACTAAAAAAAATTGTTCGAATAAAATAACCATTTACGGATTAACCCAGGGGTATTTTAACTGTGCGTCGTGCCTCCCAGAGGCATTGCATGATTTGGTCAAGGTTGGTATGGATAGTTATGCATAGTGAGGAATTAATAATTTGAGAGCCGTCAAAATATTGTGAAGACACAAATGAGCTGTGCTATGCAAAAGTTTAAATACCACTGGATTAACTAGATAATTTGAAACTTACAATGTTAAGAAACCTCCTCGTCCATGGAGGCAGTGGTATTCCTAAATAGACCACTTTAGAACTAAAAAAATGTGTAGCATATATGAAGGGCTGCGGGGAAAAAAGATCAATGTCAATTTTTTTTGAAAATGAGATATTAGTGCCATCTTTTAGCTTGTTCCTAAAGGAATCGAACTACGAATCGGTTTTGGATAAAAAGATCATTGCCTGCCCAAAATTAAAGGGAGAAGAAAACGTGTGACGGGAAAGACTCATCAAGGTTCACGCGGTGGCGGGAAAAAAACGGTTAACCTCAACACTCCTGGGCTCGAGATAGAAGCAAACCGCGAATGATGCACACCAAGTTAGTTTCCTATGGTCCCTACAAGTAGTCTGTTATCACACTTACTTCAAAGCTGGTAAAAAATAAGAAAAAATATAGATATGACTCTCCGCCTTTCTTACCAAGGCCCCCTTTCACTAAAAAAAGCAAAGCTTGATGACCTATTACACCTAAAGCAGTTTTTGACAAAGCCTGAAGCTCAAGCATTCTACAATACACTTGCGTGTGATGACACAAACAGCACTGAAGAAGACGCGGAGTACCTCGATGACCCTCCGATTGACGCTTTGGAGGAACTGTGATGGGAAATACTAATTTAGGTCAATACAGTGTCAATATTAGTATAGACTGGGCTATGTATTTTTTAAATTATTATGTCATACATACAATAACAAAATATAAATACATATATATATTAATACAAATGTATACATAGAAATAGTATAATTTAATAAATATATACTTTGTTAGTGTATATATGTATATATATGTATAATATATAGTTGCTTATTATAGTTTTCAGATAATTCAACAAAAACCTTCAATATAGATTTTTGTAACAGTACAGTATACACAAACAAGTTTAGTTGTATTCACAATATGGTATTGTATTATAATATTTACCATAAACAACTGATAGTCGAGTTCAATTCAATTAATAAGAGCGCTTGTATGTTTTTTAATTAATGTTACATACCAATATATTATAATTTTATAAAATGTATTAAAAAAAATTGGTTTTTAGGTTTTACAAGTGTAAAAATAGTATTGTCTTGTGATAAGCCCGGTACATCAAAAGCCAATGTGAGTTCTTAAAATATATGTATATTTTTTATATCTATTAAAACGTAAATGTGTAATAATTTTTTGTATATAATTCAATGTAGGTGTTTGGGATGATATAGAATTCAAATATATATTATATATATATCTCATAAATATTATGAGATTTTGAGCTAAAGCTAGAAATGCAGTAGTATGATAATGTTTATAGGCTTTGTTAAATAAATAGAGTAATCGAAAAAATTAATTTGAGTAAATAAGAAAATAAATAAAGTAAACAAGGAAAAAAATCGAATAAAAGAGTAAATAAATTAGTGATGCGAAAAACCTCACTAGTTTTGGGTTGACTCCAAAATAAAAACATTATCATATTAATTAAAGATGTTACGCTCATCTCTTAAATAATGTGCAACCGAATGTAATGCAAGGAAGCAGTTTTAGAAAACATGTGAAGCCAAAAATGTATGGTAGCAAAAATAATAGGAATTAATAAGTATGTCATACATTAAATGTTGATATGTTTATATGTCAATATAATTATATAGTATGAGGAGTATATATTAAGAAGTGACTTTGGAGTGCACACAGTAACAAAATACGGATAAGAATTTGTATAGAGGCATATTGAAATTAAGAAGAAAATTAAAGTAATATAGAAGGTATGAATAGATGAAACAGGGATAAATATAGACCAAATATGTACTAGGTAGAATTACTCGTGAAAAAAAATGTTAAACATCACAGAAAAATGTAAAACAAAATAATAGAGCACTGATTTCACTTTATTTTATGGAAATTGAGCATTATTTTATAGTCAATTATGTTTTTAGAAAAGTCGGTCATTAGTAATTAATGATCAATCAGACGAGGTATGCTGTTTTGACTACATCAATAGTAATAATAATAAAAATGATGTTTGTCATTCAACTTATGGCCTAAATACAATTGCAACCACTACTGTTAGTAGTATTCAAATTTTAGTCAATGAAAGTGCGCAATATGATCTGGAGGAAAAAAAGAAAAAAAAACAGACTGAACAAAATATTGAGCAATCAGTTTTGGATAAAGGAACTGATGAATTAGAGTTGGATACGGAGAAAAAAAAAGTCATAAACTTGGATTTAAATAATGGTAAATAAGTATAATAACACAAAAATATCTAAAATAATATGAAATAATGGTTGTTTAGTATTACCAGAATCATTAACAAAAAATACATTCAATAGCAGTTCTGCAAAAGGCATAATAATTCATGATAATGATTCATTTTATACTTCAGGTATTGCTTAAAAAAAATATATATATTTTTTAGCATAACAATTAATATTTTTTTCCTTTATAGGAATTTTTAAAATAGTTACTTTTATAATTATATTGTTTTGCGGATGGATTTACCGGAATAAATGTTTTAAATGGATACGGATGTTATATAGACCAAAGAATTCAGAGGTAAAGTATGACAAATTCTAGGGGAGTTATATTTATTCTATGATGCCTATTTTAAAAATATAATTATATACTCCAAATATCTTGAACATTTTTTACTACCCTTTTATATACAAAATAGAACTTTCAACTGGTTTTCAAAATCATGTTCTAGAATGGTTAATCTATACTATTGCTAGTAATTATACAAATTATTAATTTGTTTCTTGTTATTTTTTGTCATTTGCTTAAATAAAATCCCAATGAATTTGTTCATATGAAAAAAATTATAATGCAACTATAAGTTACGTTCATAATACATTTTAAAATAAATATAAATTACTTTTAAAAAATCAGTGTGTATAAACTATTTGGATAATCAATCAATTTAATAGAACAAGACATAAATGTATAATTTAATACTTTTATCCTATCTATTGTACTAGTTAATTAATTTTCAGTTACAAAGGCGAAATAGAAGACTGTGTAATATTCCATATGAAGATATAATGTAGAAGTTTTACCTATAATGTTAAATGTTTAAGTTTTACAAACTAGTTTATAATAATTTTGATAATTATTAACTTACTTTAATGAAAACTGTTTTTGTACTACTAGTTCCTTTTAAGTTTTTTTTGTTATTTTTACATACCAGTTTACTATTTTAAGTCGCAAAAGAAGACTAAATTGTTCACATTTAATTTAATTTTATTATGAAGGAATAGATTTAGAATTTCTTATTGTTTTATATAATTGTTATTATTGAGATGTTAAATTCAAAAAAAAAGTTACTTTTTCTAATATATATTTCATTTATTTAATTTATGATACTGAAACGTTTAGTTTTTATAGAG